TCGCCTGCCATGGGAGACATTTTTTCCTTTGCCTAGGAGGCATCTGAGGCGGGGGTTCGTTGCCTTAGGGGTCAGCCCTGCTATCGACTCGGAGTGGACCGTTTATGCGGGGGACTTCTTATTATTCTTTTCGTTTACTTTTTTTCACCTTTCTTGCTCCAACCAATGCTTTTAAGCGAGACATCAAAATATGTCATGATGCTCCTACTCTGATGGCAATCCCTTGAGGTTCCTCGGGTGAGGACGAGGGGTATCTCAGACCACCTCCTAGGGAAAGGACATGCGCCTATTCACGGAAGGGCCTTAAGTTTCTTGACGCCTCGTGTTAAGGGGAACTGCCATAGCATACCCCTTAGTGGTCGTTTTAGGGGCCACTCGTGCATGGAGAACTGAGCCACAAGAAGCTCGATTAATGGTTACTAGTTGGAACAGAGCGCGGCTAGGCACTCTTGTCGTGGTTGGCCTCGCCACAGGAAGCGAGGACCAATAGGGTCGATATGGCGAGCGAGGCTTGGATAGCTAGAGCTGGGAACAACCCTTCCCAGCACGGTTAATGAGGGCCAGGAGGACAAGGCAACCAACAAAATTTGAAAGCGGATCCTCGTCCTTAATGGGGCATCCTGTGTATCGGTTATTCAAGTCGGTCGCTGACTTGTATAGTGGTAGTCAGATTACTTGCAGATGACATTCACACCAAAGTTAGAGTGAAAGCGTAGTCATCACTAGAGCGATAACATCTTAACTTTGCTTGGAAGTTGGGATGTCAGCATTTTTTTGCTAGCAGTCAATGTGGTATGGAACGAAAGAACTTGGCAACGCATCTCATCAAGTCGAAAAGTTATGTCAGCCCAACTATCTGGCAGGTAGAGTGAATATATTTTGGTCAGTCGCCAATTGAGCGTCACTATGCATGATAATCATGCTTGTATCCTTGTTAATAAGTGTTATTTGAAGTCAAGTCAACTCATGTTGGCTCGTCGTTGAATGACAAGCCAGTTCAACCTTTGTCGGTTTCATCTGAACGAGTGGTATGCATGATTGTAATATATACGAATTGATTTCATAAGGTAAGTCAACTTACGTTGACCAGAGTCTTCTTTATTTGAAAGTATCTTGTCTGAGCAACCACTGATTGTCTTTGAAAGAAGGGACTGGGATCGCTCAAAGTTTTTCTTACACTTGGCATATTATGTCATAGTTGACCGACGTACATTCCGATTTATGGGAAATCAGTGCCCCAAGGACGAATGGCGTTCGAATCCACTTTGGCGTTCAACCATGCGTACCTATGCTACATCGAATGAGCAAACGCCCTCGGTCGGCCTACCTCTGCAATTGCATTATAAAGGCCTTCGCACGTGGGCCGGTAGCTCGGCGGGGATACGCCCCTAAGGGTGGTGACAACCCCTTAGGGAAGGTAAGAGATGCCCCTCGAGAACCTATCCTGTCGTAGGGGACCGCGGGATGTACAGTTGGCGCACTCGGCCGGAGCGGCGAAGGGTCGGTGCGGGTTACTGTGTCATCCCCGAGTTGTCTCTGAAAAGTTGAAAGCCTAAGTTTCTCCTGCGTGACGCGACCGGGAGGGCCCTCGCCCCCGCAGGGGCCGATGTGCTCGACAACGCGACTGGCTTACGGAATGGCAGAAGATTGTGGCAACACCCAATCTTGACCTCTCATTTTCGCATCTGCGCTGCGAGTTCTACAACCGATCGTGTGCCGCCTTCAACCTAGCTCTCGGTGATTGCGAAAAGTACACGACCTTCGCCGAAATCATCGACAAGGCTTAGGAGATCATCAAGACCAACCGAGCAGCATCACATGAGAAATCCGTTTCACAGCCAGCCTATGTGGAGAAAGGAGAATTTGGTCCGTGTCCGCAGCAAGTCGCTGCAGTCCAACCGGACAACCTCGTGGAAGACCCGGCAGCCGCCCCGGCATCACGTGAGGGAGATCAGGCGGCCACCATCCAGGCGCAAAGCAACAACAAATCCCGTGGAAAGGGGAAGGCGAAAATAGCATCGCCGGCCTGAAACGGACAACCAACACCATGGGTCAAGTTTAGCTTGATCCAGGCATAATACAAGTGGTGCAGCCGGTATGGCTGCTTCTATTGGTGCAACAACACCAATCACAAGACCTCCCAATGCCAAGATCAAGGCAAGGAGGACGTTTGAACTCGAACTAGCTCGGGAAACTGAGCCTCGCGGGAGGTGAGGCGACTCCACTTCTCACTCCGACGGATTCGGCCACCTTGCTAGCGGCCTCCTACACATCCGGGGAGAACAAGAATGTCGCAAGTCCTCGGTACACTTACGAGGATTACGCTGTTCACTTGGTCCCATCGTTGGACCAGCCACTCCACGTGCAAGACTCCACCGCATGCACGATTTCATCACCATCGGCAACTAATTCGGCAGCTTCGCCGACAACTTTCGTCGGGGACTCGACGTCATGGTCAAGACTCAAGGAACTCGACCCATTGACGATCGCAGACTTCCAATGGATGCCCCTTCCCCCAACCGGTCGATTGCCAAAACCGCGTTGCAACGCGCTAATGGCACAATTGCCGGAGTACTTGCACACTACAACATCGCCTCTGTTGCTGGACGCCGGAGTAGAGGTTGTTGACCTTCACGACTACCTTGCGAAGATCGACCGCGAGTTGAAGACACAAAGGTACGGCAACAACGACGCGCCATTGCTGTACACACGCATTCAGATTGAAGAAGCGACCTGCAGCGCTTTGATTGATTGCGGAGCAACTCGCAACTATATGAGCGAAGATTTCATGGTACACGCTGGCCTTGGGCCATGCGTTAGGAGGAAGTCGCAGCCCACGCAAGTCACGTTTGCCGATGGTCACACGCACAAGTCAATCGACCGGTGCATTGATTCCGTCCTCATGTACTCCACCCCGCACGCACGCGAGGCCGTGTCCTTCGACATTTTGGACACCAAGTTCGACATGATTTTGGGCATGTCGTGGTTGCAAAGCGAGGACCACCCGGTGAACTTCGACCACCGCACCATTCACATTCGTGATCAGAACGGGGTACCAGTCCCATGCACAATTCCTCCACCTCACCCTTCGATCATCTGTCACGTGGTGTCCGCCAAGAGCATTCGAGCTTCCATCACATGGGACGACGTCGGGGAGATGGGCTTGTGTTTTCTCCACGCCCTCCCTCCCTACGACAATCCATCAACGGACGCATTGAGGGACTCACGCATCATCGAGTTTCTCGGCGCCTATGGTGACATTTTCGAAGCCCCACACGGAGTAGTACCGGATCTGCCAATCCGCCACGAGATCATCCTCGAGGGCTGGGCCGTACCTCCGCTTGGTTGCATCTACCGCATGAGCGAGGAAGAGTTAAGTGTGCTATGGGCACAATTTGACGACCTTCTTGAGAAAGGTTGGATTCGGCCTAGCTCTTCGCCCTATGGTGCTCCCGTTCTCTTCGTCTAGAAGAAGAACAAGGACTTGCAGTTGTGCATTGACTATTGTAAGCTCAACGCACAAACCGTCAAAAACGCCAGCCCTCTTCCGCGAATCGACGACCTTCTCGAATGGTTGGGCGGCACCCAAGTCTTCTCCAAGCTCGACCTCAAATCGGGATATCACCAAATTGAGATCCGGCGGGAGGATCGCTACGAGACCGCGTTTAAGACGTGATCTAGGCATTTTGAATGTCTGGTTATGCCTTTTGGCCTTACGAATGCCCCAGCCACGTTCCAAGCGGCGATGACAACGCAGTTTCGCCACATGCTGGACAAATTGGTGCCCATCTACCTCAATGACATCTTCGTGTACAGCCGGAGTTTGGACGAGCATGTGGACCACCTACGAACCGTCTTGGAGCAGTTACGACAAGCCAAGTACAAGGCCAACCGCGACAAATGCGAATTCGTGCGATAAGACCTCGAGTACTTGGGCCATTATGTGACGCCGCAAGGCATCCGTCCGCTCGCGAACAAGATTGAGGCCATCCGCGTATGGCCCGAGCCCACCAACACCACAGACGTTCACTCATTCATGGGATTGGCAGGCTACTACCAATGCTTCATCACTGGGTACTCAAGGATCGCTGCACCATTAACGCGATTACAATCGCCAAAGGTGCCATTCGTATTCGACGACGAAGCGCACCAGTCGTTCCAAGCACTCAAGACGGTCATGCCCATGGCACCCGTCCTTAGCACCACCTTGCCAACGAGAGTGACATCCGACACTTCCGGTGATGGAATCGGGGCAGTCTTGGAACAACACGACGGCAAGGACTGACATCCCGTGGAGTACTTCAGCCACAAGGTGCCTCCCATTAATTCACTTGATGATGCACGGAAGAAGGAGCTGCTCGCATTCGTGATGGCTCTCAAGCGATAGTGGCGCTTCCTCATTGGGCGTCGTAGGTTCACATGGATCACCGACAGCAACCCTTTGACCTACTACAAGATGCAAGACATGGTGAGCAACACTATCGGACGATTGATGCACTTCATCGAACAATTCGACTTCACACCGAAATATCTCGTCGGCCTCTCCAATCACGCGGCCGATGTACTCTCGCAAAGACCCAATCTTTGCACCATGACACATCACGCCTTTGCATTCGACGAGGAATTCCAACGACATTTCATCCGGGGCTACCAATCTGATCCGGATTACACCACACTATGTGCGCAACTATCTTCGGATCACCCACCGGCCAGCCACTATCGCATCGTCGATGGGTACTTGGTTCTCCACTTGTGAGGCAAGGACTTATTATGCGTCCCACGAGACCGTCGCCTCCGGACTCGCCTTCTCGGCGAGTACCACAACTCGCGACTGGCCGACCACTTCGGAGTCAACCGAACGATCGCAAGACTTCGACAAAGATTTCGGTGGCCTGACCTCATTACCGACGTCACTCAGTATTGCGAATCTTGCGAAGTTTGCCGACGAAGCAAGCCCCGCAATGGTAATCCCTACGGCGAGTTGTGCCCGTTGCCCATACCTTAGGAACCCAACCTCTCCATTGCTATGGACGTCACCGGCCCGTTTTCCCGCAATCGCTTCGGGCACGACGACATCCTCACGGTCGTTGACCGATTGAGTAAGTACGCGTGATTTCTCCCTCGCAAGTACTACGCCACGACTCTCGAGCTTGTGCGCATCTTGCACACTAGCTGGGTTTGCAGCCACGACGTTCCGGAAGACATCGTTAGCGACCGTGACACTCGCTTCATGTTGGCATTTTGGACTGCTCTCATAAAGGAATCCGACTCCAAAATGAAACCAAGTTCGGCTCGACATCCACAAACAGGCGGGCAAGGGCGGGCACATCAAACTGCTGAAATGATGCTTCGTACGCTCATCCGTCCAGACCAGAAGGATTGGGTTGACCGCCTCCCCGACATCGAATTCACCAACAACACTTCGTTGCATCCGGCGATCGGCGTGACTCCATTTGAGTTACACCACGGTGACCGGAAAAGCCATATCTTCCCTGATTTCCTACTCCCACCGCCTGCCGACATTGACGCCCCTTGCTCTCCCACCTTCGTTCGGAAGTACCGGGACTTGTTGGCTAAAGCCCGCATAAACATGCAAAAGGCTCAAATTCGCATGCAGCAGCAAGCCAATCCGTGTTGCGTGCCATGTCCTATCCGTGCCGACAACCTCGTTTGTGTCTCCACGAAAGAGTTTGCACTTGAGCAAGACATCTCATGCAAGCTACTCCCCAAGTGGTTTGGACCTTGGACCGTAACATCAGCCGCGGGCGATGAGCTCGACGGCCCCTCATTCGTGGTCGAGATTCAGCCGCATCTACCGGTCCACCCGGTTTTCCATACCTCAAAGCTGGCTACATATACACCAGCTAAGAGCGACGATTTCCTGGGCCGACGATCGCAAGACCCTCCGTCTATGGATGGTCAGTAGGAAGTCGACCACGTCCTCACAGATCGCAAGTATGGCAACAAGCCCAGACAGTACGAAGTCACCTTCAAAGTCTGCGATCGTGACGACACACAGTGGATTTTCCGAGCACATTTGCAAGCATCCGCACCACTGATCTACGCTCACTATGAAGGACAAACAATAGCTAAGGAAGCTTCACGACCTGCCCCTCCCACCTGGACTTTGGTCCTCCCTCCGACAGACAGCTCTGCCCTCGCTGGTAAGCTCGGTTTTTCAAGAAGGGGAGGGTGTGGCATACTGAGTACCACACGGGCCCCTGCAGGGCCCGACCAGGTAGGATAGGCGTTCGGTAGGGGCCTTTCGGGCCTTGTGTCGGTTCAGAATAGGAAGGGGCCCTTTTTAGGCCCTATGTCGTTTGGCCTCAGGAGGCCCACTAGGTAGGCCTTTTCGGTAGAGGCCCAGTAGGCACCCAGGCCGCGGTAGGCCCTTTTTCAAATTCGACCATTTCGAATTCGGGTGTCAACTTTAGGCGCCAGACCGTTTGGACGCCAGGCCCTGGCGCCGTTCGACATTGGTGAGGGCAGCCTCCCAGCTGGACCAGCACTATATATAGCTGGTCCGCCTGGGAGGCTGGCATTCAGTCTTCAGGCATTCAGCAATGGCACTCTCCGGAGATGCTGCAGTAGTAGTAGGGCGATAGGAGTTAGTCTTCTAGTGCTGGGCGCTCCTAGAACCTTAGGGTAGCGCTAGGATCGAGGAGAGTGGCGAAGGCCAAGGGACTTACCTGAGAGCTTACCAGTGACGCCATCGCTCCAGCTTCATTTTCAGTGTACCTGCAACAAGGCGCCACCTTTCACAGGCTAGTACCTGGCACAGAGAGAAAGAGAGAGAGAGAGAGAGAGAGAGAGAGAGAGAGAGAGAGAGAGAGAGAGAGAGAGAGAGAGAGAGAGAGAGAGAGAGAGAGAGAGAGAGAGAGAGAGAGAGAGAGAGAGAGAGAGAGAGAGAGAGAGAGAGAGAGAGAGAGAGAGAGAGAGAGAGAGAGAGAGAGAGAGAGAGAGAGTTCTTCTTCTTCCTCTTCTTCTTCTTCTTCTTCTTCTTCTTCTTCTTCCTCCAGTCCACCATCTCTCCCTTACCCTCTAGCTTCCTGACTTCTCAATATCGACAGACTACGAGAGAGAGATTTGTGACTTTGGGGATTTGACGACAGTTGGATTCAGACTCGACATTGGGATAGAGACATTGGGTGGGGGACTATTGGGATCGATATCGACGGCATTGTGTTGACGACGTTCTCATCTCCTCCGTCCTCTTTGTCTGATCCCCCTCCTCCTCATCTGTGTATGATTTGAGTCTGGCGAATTCTTCCTGTGTGTGGCACCAGGCCCCTTCACACCTTGTGATGATGATGATGTATGTTCGGTCTTCATTGCGACATTGATTGGTCTGATCATTGGTATTTCAGTCTTCCGCTGTGCTATCCTGTTCTATCTGAGAGAGGTCGGTTCTTGGTTCTGGTCTGCACCATATCGGTGTGCGACACCTTCACTATTGTCCAGATCATCCAGGTCCCACTCAATCTCACTATAGGGGACCTATTCCAGACCACCTTCCTGCATTGTAAGAACGAGACTGTCCTTGGCCTTAACTTGGCCTGAGATGGCCCGACCTTTCCACTTTTTGCACTTTGCAAGGTCCTTGTGCCTGAAAATGGTAACTGGCGCGGTCTGGGCCTCAAAAGCAACAACCTCTCGACTGAGCGTGTCATAGGTTGCTGCTTCCTGTTGAAGAAGTGCCCGTGTAAAGTCTCGAGCATGGCGCGGTAGAACAATTGGACAAGTTGGGCCTCAGTGACCCCATGTCCAGGGACAGCGACAAGTTCATCCATGGCGGCCTTGAGTGCTCTTGCACTCCACTGTCGCGTGTGGATTGTCTGCAATTTGTCAGATGCCCTGAGACCTCTAGTGACGTCTGCGAATCGTTCACGGAGGGCGGTCAAAAACTCACTTAAATTAGTGATGGAAGAGTATGTGACCATATCGTTGTCACATTTGGCGGCGCGGGCAAGCGACCTACCAAAGCTGGCCGCCTCTTCTTTCAGGGCCTGAAAGGCCACGCGAACATGTTTCTCAGGTGCGATATCGTGTAAGTGCAGGTATGAATTGATATTGGCTTCCCAATTATCAAAATCCTCCCTCTTCTTCTCACTATAGGGTTCAGGCGAACTTGACCTTGACACGCTCTCGACGTGGCCGTGCCTCCTCTTCATTGGGGTCTGCTATCTTGGTGCCTTCTATGGCTCCCGCGCAAAATCGCTCGGTGCTTTCTAACGCTTCACGCATTTCTGTGCCCACACGCATCATCATGTCTCGTGCAAAGTCCTTGAACCGTATGCGCATGGACTGTACAACAATATCATGGCCCCTCAATAGCGCAACTGCTCTTGTTGGGCCCTCAACATTACATCCATATTCTGGGACAGGAGCTCTATCTTTCTTTGGAGATCTTCTTGTGCTCTCAGTTGCCCCTGTTGCTCTTCAGCAGCCCTTAACTTTCTCTCCATCTTGTATGCCGCCTCCAACCGCCTTGTTTTGTCTCTTGCAAGGTGCAACTTCCACTCCAATCTCTTCTCCTCATCCTTGGCCTGACGGCACAAGGGGTCCTCCTCCGCTTGCAACTTTCTTACGACCGCCTCCGTTTCTGCCTGGGGGACAAGCAACATAGCCTCCTCTTCTTCCCCCCGGGCTAGATTTGCCACCAATTCAGTTACCATCTTCTCCATCTTTGCTTCTCTTTCTCGCGCTCCACTCGATTCCTCCCTCTCTTCAATTCTCACATTCCTCTGCAAGGGTTCCTCTACTTCTTCTTCTTCTTCTTCTTTTTCTTCTTCTTCTTCTTCTTCTTTTGTTTCTGCTTCTGCTTCTACTGCCACCAGCTTCTCCTCCTGTTCCTTCTTCCATTTCTCCAATTCCTCCTCCATCTGTTTCTTCTTCGCCTCTTGCTCTTCTATCAAACCAACATCTTTGCCTGCTTAATTAGCTCTCGCTTCTCCATCTTCCATTTCTTTTCTCTCAGAATGGCAGCAACTTTCTCCTCTTGGGCCTTACTGTAGGGGCTGGTGCTAGTGCCTGCTCTGATGGTCACCATGGTGATAAGGCACAGCCAAGTGATAGTTCCACTCCTCACCACATAGACTTAACCCCCAAGTGATTGACTAACTCTCTAAAGGACCACAAAGTCTTCCCCTTCGTTCCAGCTAGGTTACCACAGCCGATGAAAGCTTTCGCCACCACTGTCACTGAAACTTTCCAGATCCCAGTGCACCTTGCACCAACGATCAATCCCACCTGGCTCTCACTCTGAATTAGACCCTGTCAACTATGGTCTCTAGCCTGACCTACTCGAAGGTTGTCGCTACAGGACTCTACTGCTGATCAGGAGGCATTTAAGGAGATCCCCCATAACCCCTCAGGAATTCTTTAACGTTGCAGTTAGGACGACGTGATCAGCAGAGTCCTCTCAACACTTAAGACAGTTGGATGTGCAGCCTACAACTCAGGTTTCAGGCCTACCATGCCACATTGAGCAGCCCGCAGGTCTATACCAGTCCTTGGGGGTCTTGTCCTCGGGACGTGTCAGTCGACAGACATGGCCCTTAGCCTTACTACCCCTGTGCAGGTTTGGTCACCACAGCTCTATCGACCACATGCACAGAGTATCACCAACCTGGACAAAAGTGACTCGATGTAGAAAGAAGAGACAAACTGACTCGGCAAGTACCGAGGTATGTGCACATCCACAGGGCGAGGGGGCAGGCTTAAGGCTTGGCGAGATTATACCAACTCCAACTTGGTCAAAGTCTTGGTCAACGCCTCTAGTCAATGCTGGTCAACGCCCGGTCAAACCTCCGGTCAAACTTTGCCTTGACTTCTCCAACCTCCCGGCTATGGCTGCCGACCCTTCTCTCTCGTCAACCTCTCTCGTCTTCTTCGCCCTTTTATCTTCTTCTTCGCCCAACCTCGGTTATGGCTTCCTTCTCTCTCCCTCGTCTCTCCTTCCTCCTTCTTTCTCCCTTCTTCTTCGTCACCTCGGACCTTCTTCTTCTTCAGGTCCGAGCTCGGCGGCTATGGCCGCCACTCCCTTCTTTGCTGCACAACCAATCTTCTCTCTCTCTCTCTCTCTCTCTCTCTCTCTCTCTCTCTCTC